TCTCCTCTCCTCTCTCATCCTCTCCTCTCCTCATCTCTCCTCTCCTCCCTCTCCTCATCCTGCATCCTCTCCTCTCCTCATCGTCTCCTCTCCTCTCCTCATCCTTCTCCTCATCCTCTCCTCTCCTCTCCTCCTCCTCATCCTCTCCCTCATCCTCTCCTCTCCTCTCCTCTCCTCTCCCATCCTCTCCTCTCCTCTCCTCATCCTCTTGCATCCTCCTCATCCTCTCCTCATCCTCCTCCTCTCCCTCATCCTCTCCTCTCCTCCCATCCTTCACTCGAGGAGAGGATGAGGAGAGGAGAGGAGAGGATGAGGAGAGGAGAGGATGAGGAGAGGATGAGGAGAGGAGAGGATGAGGAGAGGATTAGGAGAGACATGATTTTTTTATTTATTTTCTAATTCTGCGCTGGAATTAATACAAGTTATCAAGTGCCACAGATTAATCACATCTCATTCCAAGGAAGTATTTCCATGGAACTCGAGCAAACGTGTTCTCATGCACAGGTCCCAAATTTTGGGTCCCTGACACAGGGGCGTAGTTTGTCAAATTTGGCCATCATAGAAAGAGTTTCAGAACAATTATAGCGAAGCCAAGGATGTGCTCTTTCAGGTAAATGCAATAGACTGCAAAACTGTTGTGAATTGAATAATTTATTAATATTAGTACCTTGCAATTAAAGACTCATTTACTCTAGTCTTTGAAATAAGATTATATGTTCCTGTTCTGAATTGTCACTCAGAATATGCATTATTTTATCATATTGATATTTAATGATTATTAAAATTTATTTGTTTGAATATTATCTATTATTATTATTATTTTATTATTATTATTATTATTATTATTATATATTATTATTATTATTTATATATTTCATTGTTAAGTTCAATCATTCAAAAATTCATTTTCATTGTTTTAAAAAAATTCAGTTAAAGTGTATTTGCAGTCTAAATAAGCAATTCGTAACATATCATATGTTAACATTATTTTTAATTATGATGTCATTAAAACATTCTGTTTAAGGAAAGAGTGTCTTTAACCAATAAGGATACCTATCATCTTTAATATTGAATTAGACTATGATTGTTAATTGTATTTTTTTACAACATTACTTGATAAAGTTATTTCCGGTGTGTTTAGTTTTTGGTATCCAGTTATTGGAATATAGCAGTACTTCATGATTAACAGTATGAACCTTACGAATGGGATTGAAGATTTTAGGGAGCGTCAGAAAACATAAAAAAGCGCTGCAGCTCTTGATGTGGTGCTGTCTTTGATTTTTATGGAAGGTGGTACCCTGTAGAGATGGTAAGAACTTGGCTCGGGAACCTAGTAGGTGAAGAGAAGTGTTTGACATTGACGAAGTTTGGAAGAGGGGGGGGGGAGGTCAACGATAACCCCAGTACAGTTTTTTCTAGTGTCTTGTTGTAGGTGAGAAGTTATTTTTTCTTGTTTAGACTTCTATAATTACGTCCTCTAATCCATAGTGATTGGTTCAACCAAAAAGATGGAATATTTACCTTATTTTGTTCTCATGTTTTACACCTCTTTGTTCATGTTCTCGTTTTGCAGAGTGCATTGACTTTTTGTAAATAAAATATATTTGTTGTTTTGACTACGGATTTGTTTGGTTTCTGAGTTGACAGGCATTATTTTACTTATTTGATAGCACTGAATGTTATTACTCGTATATATAATAATAATAATAATAAATAACTAATAATATATCATAACAATAATAATTAAATAATATAACATATAAATAAGTAAATAATAAAAATAAAATAATATAAAATAATATAATAATAATAATAGAATACAATAATATAATATAACTTATTTGACGTCACTTATAGAATTACATTGTGTATGATGAGTCAATATGATATCTTAGTAAGAGGGTAAGTCATTACGTATGATAGTATTAATGTATCGTGCATCATTTGCTCTCTTAGTGTGGAATCATGTATGAGTTTTGGTTTGTTTGAACAGTTTAAGTATTGAATCTAGTGTGTGTGTGTTTTAACCCTAAAGGTTAAGTTGTTGTCAATTCAATTTTCTTCTTTTTATTTATTGCACTTGTAATCTTCTTTCTTTTTTTTTTTTTTTTTTCCATTGATTCGTCTTGGCATTGCAGCTTTGGTCTATTGTGAACTAAGTTTTCAATACTATTTAAACAAATTTATTGTTTTGTTTTAAAGTGTGGTGTTTGTGTTAATTTTTTAAAAATTTTTTTGAAGATCCCTCGCTTACCTTAAAACTTTCATCCTTAACCAACGGATTAGTACACACCACCACCATGGGTGGAGCCTACTGTCCTGTTCCATGTTGAGAGTATCCTTCCATCGCACTCTTGGTCTGCCCTACTCCTTCTCCTATTTGGGATGTAGTGGTGAAGAATGTTTGGCATTTGATCTTCATTAAATTATCAAGCTATCTTTCTTAGTAGTAATCATATTTTTATAATCATTTGGACATATTGTCTGTTAAACTGTCCAATTACTGATAGCCTGCAAAGGTCTAAGAAATCCTATTTGTCTTATCTATATGTTCTATTTAGGCCCAATTTGCACATCATAGGTGATCATTGGAACTGCCATTGTCTGTCATGTTTCTGTC